TTTTTATTTGCCGCACAGAAAGATCTATAAATTGTGCGGCATCCGCACAGTAAATTTTAATTGAAAAATTAACACTGTGCAGGAGGTTTGGTTTATCTGTATCGTAGTACGGGGCGCAAGCAAAGGTGCCATTTATGGACTATACTTAGATACATATTGCAGATAAAATGGAAGGTCATGGAAATACTAAACTAAATTCGGTCGAAAGCTCACATATTTTTCTTGTTTCCCTGCATTGCAATAACCTGTTAGTATGGGCGGAGCGCATTCATCGCACGTATCATGAGTTTATTAACCTAATTTTGTATACTGCTGTACTGCAATAACATTCTGACATTACAGTGAATTGGTATGCTTGTGTGATGTTTTAAATAATTTTTGTGCTCAATTTCTGTTTAAGGCTAAATCAAATGCGACCGGAAATAGATATATAGGAGACATTCTAAAATGGTTTTCAGGCTTATCTCACGATGAATAATGCGAGTAATCCTTACACGTTTTTTCGACAAAAAATGTTTCTAGCGAAAAGGAGTGATATCGAATTAATATTAAAGTTGGATTTTTTCTTACTAACGCCATTTTATTCTTCAAAAAATGCCCGAATACGAGGTTGTCGCTGTTGTGGTGGAAGTTGTGGAAGTTGAGTTGTCGCGAGTTGCGAAGGGAAGAAATTTCGAGCTGGAAATAGTTGAGTTATTGAAAAGACTTGGCTTTGAAGTGATTCATGTAGGTTGAGTTCTTTTTCTCATTGAGTGTTTGTCTAATCGTTGTGTATCCGAAAATACGTTCCACATTGATCCAAACGAATTGAAAGCGCGCCGTGGCCGACTGTTTCGACAGTTGAACGTTCTTCTTTTGGCTTTCAATGTTCCCGCAATCGGCTTAGCCCTGGGGAATTAATGGCAAACTAGGATGCATACTTAGTTGAACAAATACTCATATTATTGTTAATATAGTGGTAAGAACGACGGAGGAATCGATATACGCGCGCGTATTCGTGGAATCGATTTTGTATTCCAATGTAAAGATTGGGAAAGACCTACAGGTAATATAATATATTATAAAATATTTTAAAATACTAAAAGATAATTTTTATTAGTTCCCTCAGTCGTTCGAGAGCTAGATGGGGCTCTCACCCAACCCGAGAATAGCGGGGCTATCGGGGTTGTGGTGATCCCTGACAACTCAAGATTCTCACTTAAGACGATCGAAAGGGCGATTACGTCCGTATTTCCTATTATACTAACAGATAAGGCTCATCTTCCTACATACATTCTTAATACAATTCTTGATCGATTACAAGGAGATCCATTTATATTCCGCTTTTTATATTAAAATTCTAATAATAAATAAATTTGCATAATTTTTAATTCAATAACGTATCTGATTTATTAGATAATTTATTTTTAGGGGTATCTTCACTAGGTTTTTTGTGGGATTCTTTTTTTGAAGGGATAGTGCTTTGGTCTATTGGACAATTATCTTTACTGTCTCCATTATTATCTATATCCGACATATCTTTTTCTATAATTTCTGGCAAATCTTGAGATTGGATACTATGTTTTTCTATCCTTCTAACTACTGATGATGTACTTGATTCAGAACCCCTTCTATGCCCCGTTTCAATAATTTCAACCTCCTCACT